AATAGGTGGCGCCTTAGGGTTTAAAAGCTATAAAGGAGAGCCCTAAAATGAGTGGTTGAGATTAAAAGAGGTGGAGGGTGGAGATTGAACACCTAGGGGCGGCTAGGGTTTGCTAAGAGTGAAGGGCTCCCTAGGGTTTGCTAAGGAGAGGGGAGCATGGTAATACAATAGGATGGGCGCCAACTAGGTTTAGCAAATAGGAGGCGCCCTCCTGTTCTCAGTTCTTTACAAAAACACCCTCTCTCTCAACTGGTCTTCACACCAGCTCTCTAAAAATTGCACTTCAACCTAGAAAATTTCTCAGTTTTCTATATAATTTGCACAGAGACCCTCAAAGATCACATAATTGGGAAAATGGTACACTTTGACTATTCTAAGGCCGAAAATACCCCTGAATTGATGCCCTTAAGGCATAAAAATGCAGGGTTATCAAGCTCTTCAGGGGCCAAGCCACAAGCCAGGAGCCACCTTCTTTCCCCTACAAATGTCGTGGAAACTTTGTTACGACGTTTGTAGCGATTTTCGGTGACGTTTGCAAATGTCACAGAAATTGGTCTTTAGAAATAATGGCAATGGAAGTTCCATTAAAATGGCTAGAATGTTTTGAACTTGGTCTGAAATGGTTAGGTTTTGTCTCGGGCTATGCTACATCGGGTTAGTGTAGATTGGTTAAGTTTGAAAAAAAATTATGTATAACTTTTTACATATTTGTCTTTTAATGGGATTTATGACTCAATTTAAGAATAGAATCAATTGAAAATATTTATAAATGCACATTTACAATTTTATACATATACATACGTACACATAATTAGAAAAAAATTAAGATATTTTATATAAATGTTACACACATATGTATGTATTTTTTGGGTGGGTTTGGGTTGGGTCGTGCCCAAGTTATCTACCCCAGGTCCAACTTGTAGCTTACAAACTCAGGCTCAACCCATGCAAAAGCTCGGGTTGGTCAAGTCAAGCTCAATTCAACCCACCCAAGTTGCACCCCTAAATGATAATAAAAGATATGTTTCCAAAAATTTTCTACAATTTTTTTTATATTTCTATGTCTATAAAAATTAATCTTATTTATCACACTCATTTTTGTTTAATATGATGAATATATGATATTAGAGAAGTGTCCAAATGTTTTTTATAATTTTTTTATATTTTTATATATTTTCATCTTTTTAATTTTTTATTATTATTTAACCATGACATCAACGGTTGACACATTTTGTTGACTTACCACCAAACATGTTCATTTTTTTCATGAATAAAAAGCAATTGTTGCTTATTATACTTATTTTTTAATATGGTTAATTAATATAGAATTCAATTAATAAATGGGGGTTAATATCCTAAATATAAGGCTTAATGAAAGAAATTGAATTAGGAAAAATGTAGTAGTTTAAATTACTTTTTGATGACATCAAGGGTTGACGCATTTTGTATTTGTATTTTTAATTTTTTGTTATTATTGAAAGGAATGGTAGGATCCATCGTATGGATGCCAAGACTGTTGCGGAATGGGTGGGCGAATTTTTTGTTATTATATATAATGTATTATAATGAAATTCAATTTCATAATATATATTATAGGTTATAATATATAATATTTTATATATCAATTAAATTCGGTTTTTAACCGAAATAACCAAAAATTTTGATTTTGGTTATTTCAATTTTCTTATAATTCAGTTTTGGTTTGGTTTTCATTTTTTATTTCGGTTTGTAAAATTTTGATTTATTTAATTCAGTTTTTAACCGAATAAACTGAACGTTCACCTCTACGCATCACGAAGGAAACCAAATCATGGACTGGCCGGTGAACAAAGGATACACAACGAGAACGTTACATGGCACTACGTTGAATGTGCAGCCGTTTTAACTTTCCTCTTTTTGTAGATTTCCTAGGTCTTTCTTTTTTGTGTCATGTCTATTAATCTCCCGTGTTTCTATAGACTCATGGACTTCAAACACTTATTACTTTTATCTTTTAGTCAATAAAATTAAGTAAATGATAAAACTTTTTAGGATATTGTGATGTTCTCAACTTCAGTTACATTTCACTTTCAGTCGTTAAGGAGTCCACAACCTCCTTAAAAATCTTATTCACTAAGACCATGTTTGGTTTGAAGGAAAAAGTAGGAAAAGAAAAGGAAAGGCAAGAAAACCTTTACAAACCTTGTATAGGTTTTGATATCTTTCCCTTCCTTTCCCTACCTTTTCCTTCAAACCAAACCAAACATATCCTAAAAGACCCACTAGTCAAGTTTCAACATGATGGTTGGAAATGCAAGATCCTTTTAAGTTAGTAAGTTGTTAAGTGGGTTGTGATCTCCACAATGGCTGAATGGAATGTTGCCCTGTTTGGGTTGACTGCATGCAATGCAAATTGAACACAAAATGATCATAAGGCTGTATTTGGTTGCAATACAAATAAATTTGCACTCATGCAAAACTATGACAGTGCAAATGATTTGAGTGTAAATTCTGACCCATCTTTGTTTTAAATTTTAGCTTGTTTTGTTTGATTGCATTACAAATAAAATAAATTAAGACATAAAGTAGAATAAAGTAAAACCCAAAACAAAATTAAACTAGAATTTGCATTTTCTTCATTTGCACTCCCATGCATTTATACTAGTGCGAATAAAATTGCACAGAAGCCAAACACAGCCTAAGGAATTGTGGTCGAAACATTCAACAGTTTGAATGAGACAAATAATAAAAATTGTTCCTTGAAGCAGCCATCTGTAAACAAACCAGCAATTCTGATAACTGAATTTATACTAGATAAAATGTTGGATGATACAAGATACATGATATCTGCCTTGTAGAAAAAATGATACATGATATCTGCATTCTTAGTGATGCAGAAATGGAAAATGGAAATTTTACTGCACCAAAAAGAAATCTCATATTATCAGAGGTTTAACTTTCCGATTGTGGCCCATGCTATTAACAAGGTCTTTGCGGGTACAGGTAGGGAACAAATTTACATTCTTAAGCACCTTAAGTTGCCTGAGAATATATGGAAAGCTTAGTTGATCCCGTGAAGTGAATCGAACTACTTCATTGAACCAGAGGCACATGAACAGATTTGTCAATGGTGTGTGCTCCCTCACGATGACAGATGATTCAGCTAAAGCTGCAAAAACAAATACCTAAGAAGTTCAGCTCATAGTCATAGCAGACAAAAAAAAATAATTTTAGTATTTGAACAAGGAAAATGAAATTTTAAAAGACAATGCATATAACACCTTGATGCTCTTTTCTAAAAACGGAAGGGCTACAATACTTCCGTTTAGCAAATCTTGAGATTAGGCTATTTATTAAGAATGGGATACTTCTATTCCACATTGAGCATATACCATCAAATGTTGAAAGATAGGCCAATGACATAATGAGTGTCATACCATGACTAACATTTGATTTCCCCAACCAATTAGTCTTGGAATAACAAGGGGCAGTCATTAATACCTTTCTTGCCATTAAACATCTTATCATCAGGAAAACCATCACTGCGATACTGAGCCAGTTGCACCTCCACCTCTTCTGGGGTTGCTTTGTTTTTCTTCACTACAGCTTTACCCTCTTCATAGATGCTACCACGTCCATGTTCTGAAATTGCAAGTGTGGATTTTGTACGCCAAAGAAGGGCTTCCAGAACTCGCAGTGGATCCCTACGGAATTGAGATTTAGAGTCTACCCAAATTGAATACCTTGCTTGAGGGAACAATCGATGGCCCAGCATCTGAAAAAAAAAAAAAAAAAAAAAAAAAAAAAAAGTTGAACTGAATTTCACATGGATGTTCCTCAACAATAGGAGTGCAAAGTAAGATACATGAAATTTAATTTTAAGTATTCAACTATGGTCCAACAAAAGGGGAGAAAGAAACATGACATAAATCAAAGTGAATCACATAAATTGACAAAATTCTAAGCATCCTAGAAATCCTGTAAATTAGTTCTCAATTACATGAATCTGTCCTGCCATTCTTCCCTATCAAGAGTGATGGAATAACACAACCTTTAAATAGTTAATTACCTACAAAATCAAACTTAAGGTTAATTCATCAAAACATAGCAACAAACCAAGTGAATTGCACCAAAGTTCAGGTGGGGCACAACCCACAAAATAAGCCTTGCCTAAGCCTATGCATGCTTAAGAATGGACATAGGTATTGATATTCTATCTAATATGCTTGTATCATGCTTCTTTAAATCTAGTTTCCAAGTGCCATTTTGCAATACTAATAGTTTGCCAAATTTAATTGACCTAATATATACAGGTTTTCTATACTATGATTTTTTAAGGTATACCAAAATTACATATTTTGAAACTTTTATCATTGTAAAGTATAACCTAGATGTATCCATGCAGTATTTTGTGTTGTTACTGCTGTAGTGTATTTATAGCATTTGGCATCAGTACGATCGGCATTTACATGTATCTAGGTATCATAAACTTCGGTAACATATAAATGGCACTATTGTACTGTGAAAGCTCTATGACTAACTGGTTTTTTGAATGGCGAAAGCTGCTTGTTTATGGCTTTCATGTGTCACTGTATATTCTCTCATGTGGACACAAATACTTCAAACTTCAAGTTAAATTTCATATCCATGCAAACTATCTTCAAAGAATAGCTTCTTGAACTTCATCTTGTTTTTGATACATTAATGTTAGGGATATCAATGGGTTGGAGTAACCCCAAACCGACCTGACCCAAGCAAGAGAAGATGGGATTCCAAACCAGAGCCGTCTTATATGTAGTACACCTATACTCAACCAAGACTACCTCTACAAATTTTTCAATGATGCAACAGCAATAGGTCAGGTATGGTACAGGGCTCACCTCAACCTGCACCTGACATAAACCTGATTAAGGTTGACCCAACCCTAACTCAATGGGATCGGGTCAATGCAGGTTTACCACTTAACTAACCCAGTGGCATCCCTATTCAAAATGATGAATGTTCATTAGATCCTCCTCTTCAAAGTTTTGGGGTGAAAACATTAATATAATCAGTCTCTTCATGTAGCACCCTTAAAAAGTTGTGGTCTCTTCCCTTAAAAAGTTGTGCATAATTCACTTAAATGAATGTTTATCAGGTGACTTAATTCTCTAAGAATGGTAGAGTTTGGACGATGGGACTGGCAATTGAAACACGCTAAAGCATCAACAGCTTAAGATTTTTGAAAGTAAACTCTATAACTTGGTTCTCTTGGAAGGAGAATGTAGAATGCATTTAAGGTGGATATCTACTAGAGAACAAAGCACTTTGGGATTACCTACCACATGAAAGAGAAGCAATCAGTGAATATGTTGGCCTGTTGCTGGTACAGGGAGTGCTAAGAAGAAGTTATTAGTCTAGAGACTAAAACAGAACATATTTGCTCCTTATAAATTTCTTATTCTTTTATTTCTCTGAGCTAGGAATGTGAACCTTATTGCAGGGTTTATGAAGGTGGGGAGGGGGAAGGGAGGGGTGGGAGCTCCAAAGGTTTATCAAATTGATGATCCCAGGGTTAAATGACAGCATTTATGGGTGACGAGATGATAATAAGTGGTGAGGTGTGATTCAACAATCAGGATTCAGCAACCAGAGGAGGCAGAACAAAATATGGTTAATCTTCACCTGTAAAAACCACTTAACTGAATTTAAGGTTGGTTGGATACACACTATTCCTGGTAAAGAAGGATTCTCGCCATACCAAAGGTGCATAAACATACAGAAGCAATCACAAATAATATGCAGCATTTGGTACCTTAGGGATTTTACTATTCAGCCGTTGATCTGTGAAAGGAAGATCCCTGACAACCACAATGCGCCATTTACCAATCATATTGTTCTCACTAATTCTCCTCCCCGCTGCTTCCTGAGCTGCACGTGTGATTTCATCCCAAAATGCAACATAGCAGACCTGCAACCCGACCAAATCTACATATATGGAAATGCACAACTATAATGTCAAATAGGCAAAGCTTTGGATGCTACGAAAGGGAACCTTTCTAAGTGATACATCTGACATTCCAATTGGTTGATAGAGATCATCACCACCACCAAATGCACATGTGGATACAACAATTTTGCAAGCTTGCATGTAATTATTGTCATCATCAGAAATCTTAAACCCTCCTTTCTCACTGTAGAATCCACAATGCACCACAGCAGTTTCATTCACCTGACACATTCGTTATGCACATTAACTAGTATAATGAATCGGGCATAAACAGTTCTCCGTCAGGAAGAATCAACAGCAAGCATATAAAGAAATGTAGAAACATCAACTTCAGACTAAGTTTTGTAGGTATCATCGTTAAACTCTTCAAGTAACTCTACATAGACAGTTGTCTGAATACTTTTGGTTGCACCAAGAATTAAAATGAAAATGGTCATAAATTTATTTCTAGACCCATTTGAGAATATCAAGTTGCAAGTTAAAACCTAGACTCACTTGAAAACTATCAAGTTGCAGACTAAAACCTTAAAACTTTGTTTTCTCTCATGAAGAGTTTGGTTCCCTGCGAATAAATTAAATCTTGTCTCCATTTGCTTCTGTAATGGAATAGAATAAGATGTATCAATATCTGACTTGTACACTACTCTTCTAACAAGAAAGTTGGGTTTTCGAACCACAGGAATACCAAGATTCTTGAGTTTTTCGGGAGGCAAGAGCTTCAAGCAACCTGATAAAATTCAGGAAACTAAGTGAGATAGCCTTCTTGAGAATTCTACACCAACAGATGATCAGAGATAACGCGGTGACTTACGTTCTCTTGCGCCCCCAATTATCCTGGTCACCGGATCGAGACGATTCAAATTCCCCTCTACTTTCTTCTTTGCGAGAAATTTCAACTTCGTTCCGACTCTTGACTTTCTAAGTTCTCTGACGCCTCCAACTACCCTAAGCCTGGGATTGAGACGACTTGAATTCCCTATCGCCTTCTTTTCTGCAACGAATTCCAACTTCGACCCGTGAATGGACTTTCCAGCAATCCTCGATGCCTGGAATACAAGCAACCCGATTGCGAGAAGAAAGAGAAAGACCCACCACCACTTGAGCAGCTTCCGAAACGTTGGCCGGAAAAAATGGTCCGTATTAGCTTGGACACCCCCAAATTTCTTGCATTTCCTTCGAACTGACACTCCCATCCTTTTCCACTCGTTAGAATCATCGTCTGAAACGGACATAGAGATGCTGTTGAATATCAAAGACGCCATTACAAATTCCCGGGAGAAACTCAAAGCTTTGCATAAATTGGAGAGAATTAAGACGTCGCTTCTCTGAGGAAAACCAAATTCAAATCGAAGTCGGTGCGTGGACAAGGGGGTTTGCACTTCAACACATTACACTACATTTAGTTTATTCTCGAAGTCACTTGTCTATTTTCTGGTTTTCTCCAAGTCACTTTTTTTTTCACGGATTTTTTAATTTTAAAATTTAACAAAATAATTCAAGTGACTCCCTTTCTCTCTCTTTTTCCTCTTTAGGCTATATTTGATTTGAAGGGAAAGGTAAGGAAAGAAGAAAAATGGAGGAAACCTTTACTTATAGGTTTCGTTGTCTCTCTTTCTTTCCTTACTTTTTCCTTAATATCAAACACAGCCTTAACTCTTTTAATAATCTCTCTTCATTAATTATAGGGGTAATAATATATAAGGGCAACTTTTGGGGTTTAATATTAATAAAATTAATATATTTAAAAAAAATTCAAAAATAAGTTAACTTTTTAAAAATAATATCAATAAAGAGCAAAAATACTGTTCATCTTCTTCTTCTTGCTATTTGTTCACCAGAGCCGTCGCCCGCCACCACCCGCCGCCGTCGTCCGCTGCCGCTCACCGCCGCCTCCGCCTCCAACAATGTTGTCAGAGGTGAACAAAGGCAAAGGTGGCGACGGCGGCGCTGGTGATTTCTCTGTCCAACACCACCACCTCCGCCTCCTCCTTCGGCAATGTTGTCGGAGATGGGTGGAGACAGAGGTGGTGACGACAGCGGGTAGAGGAATGACCACCAGCGCCAACGCCGCCACCTCTGCCTCCGGCAACGTTGCCGGAGGCGGAAGCAGAGGTGGCAGTGGACGGCGATGGTGGGTGGTGGTGGACAGCGGTGGACGGCGGTTCTGGTGAACAAATGGCAAGAAGAAGAAAATGAATAGTGTTTTTGCCCTTTATTGATATTATTTTTAAAAAGTTAACCTATTTTTGAAATTTTTTAAATATATTACTTGTATTGATATTAAACCCCAAAAGTTGCCCTTATATGCTAAAAACCCTTAATTATACTATTAACTCTTTCCTTCGATAATTCATGCCACTAATTCTCTCTCATCTCCATTACTCCATTAAATTGCATAAAATAATTAGTTATATTTGCATTAAATTGTAATTATTAATAAAGATTAATTATATTAAAATCGAGATATTCAATAATATATTATTGCACAAAATAATATACTTCCATTCAAAATTATAATCCATTTGAAAATAATAACAATTAATAAATAATAATAAAAACAATTTAGTATGTTACATAAATAAATAAAAATAATTATTAATTATTGTTATTGATAAAAATATTTTTATTGATATAAATAAAAGAATTTAATTAATAAAAATAATAAGATCAATCAAAAAATAATGTCAATTTAAAATAATATAAAACTAATACAAAATTATCAAATAATTATTAGTTTGATAATTAAATTTTATTAATTTAAAACCAACTTAAGTTCCAATTCCAATGAAAAATAAAAATTTATATAAATTTCATAAGGAATTTAAATTTAATAAAAACTTAATATACTTAAATAAATTCAATTTTTACTAATTAATAAAAATATTAATTTTAAATATAGTTTAATTATTTTAAATCAATTTAAATTTCATTTAAAAATAAGGAAAATTATAAAAACCTCATTGGGTTTTCTAACAATCCTATGAAACTCTCCAATGTTTTGACCTTAACAAAACCTACCTTATTGTTTTGAAAAATGATGCAAATACCTTCCTTTTGTCAACATTTCAAATAAAAAAATGTTGATGTAATGCATTAGTTTTACTTCACTTCAGCCTTTTTGCCTTATTTTATCCAACAAGAGTAAGGAGAATTGTTCTTTGAAAGTTATTTGAAAAAAATAAATTAGTGAAGGGTAAGGTTGAAACTTTAATTTATATATTGCATTAACATTGATAAGACTTCTTCAATGTCTTTGATACCAAAAAGCCAAGGGAAATGAGGTATTTGCACTTTTTTCTCAAAACTATAAGAGAAGCCTTTGTTAGGGTCAAAACGCAAAGGTGGTTTATACAGTTGTTTTAAGAGGATATTTTTTATAATTTTACCTAAAAATAATAAAAAATAATAATAATCCAATAAAAAAATTCTTTTTTCAAAAAAAAATAATGCAAATTTATCTAAATAATAGGAAATTGGCCACTCTCACTAAAGTGCAACTTAAACTGTGATTGGATAAACTAGACATAACGGCAAAAATAATTTTTGAATTGAACTTAGATAAACACAATTTAATTGGAAATGTAATAGAGCTCCATCTTCATTTTTTCTTATAAATAAAGCCCATGCATCATACAGGTCTTGACTAGTATACGTTGTTTCCAGAGTTCTTATATGATAATAATCTAGAATTTCAAAACGACCTCCGTTTGATGAAAAAATTGATTGTTTAGGAGCAGCGCGCTAGAGACAAGAACCCAATTATCAAATAAAGGACAAAATATGCAATGCAATCATTGAGAGCAAGAAGACAAGCGTTTTGTGACTGTTGACTGTTGAGTAGTGTTGACTGAAAATAGAGAAGATGAGTTGGGATTTGCTCCTCACACAGTACTCACAAGACATTGCTCAAACCGTACTCAACAGCCCCTTGGATCTGTTTATTGAGAATATATTCCCATGAATAAAAACATATAAGTATAGAGATATTCTCAATACATGGTTGCACGGGGTTCGAATCTGCTACCTACAAGTTATTCTTACATCTATGCCAATGGGACATTATAGTTGTACATTAGGAATATCTCCCTTTTCATTCATAGGGAGATGTTCCCAACACATGACGGTGGTGTTCCATGGGTATAGATGTGGAAACATTTTGTTGGTAGCAGACCCAGAGTGGGTTGCAAGTGGCTGTGAGTATGGTGTGACTGCCTGAACATGATTTTGTGAGGACTGAATCTTATCTCTCTTTGTGCTTTCAGTACTTGCACCAATCTTATAGTAAATCTCACCATTTATCTGAAAACATATCTCCATCAATAACAACATAATGTGTCGGATGTGTGGCTAGAATGTGCTGTAAGGTCCGTATGAAGAGTAGATCCAGACTCATCCGGACTCAGAGAAGACAGGGTAGGAAACGGTTTGAAATCCATAGGACCAGGTTGGAAGAAATGAGCGGAGTGTGATGCATTGTAGGATAGGGTTGCAACAGGATGGGTTGAGTTTAAGCTCAATATTGGGTCTGAGGTACAGTTTTGCATTGAGTCTGAGGTTAAGCCCGAACTATCTAATTTGGGCCCAACCTTCACGAAAATTTGATGCATTTAGATTGGTCTCGAGTCTGGGCTTGGCGTAGATTGATCAATTAGTCTAGTATGTATGTATGTTTGGGTTATCAAAGAATTGTATGTATATATACATTAATGCATGTAAAATATGTGCTATACATGTATATCTGTCCGAGCCCAGCCCAAAAATTAAAAAACCCCAAACATATGGCAGGCTCTGAGAACTGAAAATTTGAGCCCAGCCCAAGTAATATAGCGGGCTGGATCAACCCCAGCTCGGTTGTACCAACCAAATCGCACCCACTTTATTTGTTGCGACGTACTATGTGGTATGTTGAGCCACAACCACAAACATCCCTTAAGCATCGGGATGGATTGCTAATTTGGCAAGAGATTTTGCTGGGCTACCATCTCCAAACTTCCCTCCTTTCAATAAAAAACCAGACAAACAGAAAAATAAACGAAAGAAAGCACCTTGGCCTTCTCTCCGGCCGACCACCTCCAGTTCGGAGGCGGAGGAAGGAGGCCTAATTGATCTTTTCTTCTATCGAGAACTTGCCCAGCTGATTCAATCTCCCACCCCACCACAATATATATGGACTACAACGACCAGAAAGGGTGCCCCACGGACATGAATTCATCAGGACCACCTTACCTACCCAAATATGCAATTCTGCCGGCCGGGAATGGGGATGGCGACCAGGTGGACGTTCGGCCTCCTTCCTACCGCCGCAACATCCCACGCTATCTGTCGACTCAGAACCGTAAGAGCGGGTCCATCTGCCTCCAGTGCATATGCTGCTGTTATTGCATTCTCCTGCTATTGATCGTCATTCTAGCAAGCCTCACTGTCTACCTCTACACCTTCTTCGAACCCAAGATGCCTTCTTACACGGTGGAACGCTTCGGAGTTAATTCCTTCGATCTCCAACCCGATTTCAAGCTTTATATCGAGTTTTTGGTGAGTCTGAAGGTCGAGAACCCAAATGACAAGATTGGCATCATCTATGGCAAGGACAACTTGGTGGTCGTCGCTCACCAAGGCTTAACGCTTGGTACTGGAAAGATTCCAGCTTTCTTCCAACGCTACAAAAATGTGACCTTCATGGAAGTTGTGGTTAAAGGGAAGAGCGAGCTTGGGTCGGCTTTTCAGGCAACTTTAATGGAGAACCGGCTGGGCATGAGGATACCCATACCCTTAAACATGAATATCAAGGTACCTATGAACTTCATGTTGGGGGAGTCCACATTAAGACAGTTCACTTTTCTTGTTAATTGTTCTTTCGCTGTTGATAACTTGTCGCCCAAGCACAAAGTTGATATTTTATCAAGTAATTACAATGTGTCCTTTGCACTCTGAATTCGATCTCCACATTCTCATGCGCTTGTTTTTGTTATCTCAATCTCAATACATGCTTTCTAATTCTATATCCGCAGTTACAACTGACTAGAAGTTTTTTTTTTTTTTTTCCTCTATTTTTTACACACACGAACAGCTAACATGTTCTTCAGTTAACCCTTTATTATTCTTCTCTCAAATATGATGTTCATTTGGGATGGTGAAGAAGAATAGATGAGAAAAAGAAGAATTAATTATTATATAGCCTCCTTATCTAACTTGGAATTCAGTAATGAAATTTCTCCTTTTTACCATAATTCTCATTCTCTAATGAGTAAGAACTTTGGAATTCAGAAATTCTTTAGACTCTGATTGGGGATAGCAGTGCAAATGTAGGTTAAGTGCATATATGCACTCTGGTTCAGTTTTATTGGTGTTTGGTAAGAATGCATTTGTGTCTTAAAATGACCACAAACATAGATTTCAAGAGATGCGTGTATTAAAAAAGACAGAAAATTTGATCAATATTAAAAAGGTGGATTCCAATTTGGAGATTCTTGTTTGCACCTACCATAATTAAAAATCATTTGGCAAGAGCACAAAATTAGCATTACAAAACTCAACCAAGTTTGCATTTTTATGAACCAAACATTTTTGCATTTGTGCTGAACAATTTTATATTTACACTCTTCCCAAACAAAACCTGAAAAAATTTCCCTCAACTTTCTCCATCAAACCAAAAACAGCCTCGGACTAGTGTGAATTAGATTTGAACTTGATCAAGTTAATTGCATCAATTCTTAAGTCTTAAGGCTCAGTTTGGAAAGAGCACAAATACAAATTTGTACAGTGCAAAACTTGTATTTTGTAATATTTTTGTATATATTTTACTGTATATATTTCTATTTGTACTCCTTCCAAACTGAGCCTATACAAATGCAAAAGTTAGAGTGCAAAACCTTGCTTTTTGTATTACTTTGTATGTATTTGTATTTATACTCTTTCCAAACTGAACCTAATTAACATTATCATGCACTTCACTGGGCCAAAGAGCTATTACCCAGCCTGGACCTCATGCTTTGAGTTCAATCTAGGGCCCAAAAGAAAGCCCTTACACTGGACCCAAAATCCAGCCCAACTACATAGTATGGGTTTCGGTAAAGCTTGGGGAAGCCCAAACAAAACATAATTGCTACGAAAATCCTTTTATTGACTCATTCTTTTGGCACAAGCGTCAGCCCACTTTATATACCATTGAACATAAAATGACACTTCCCAATCATTCTCTCTTTATCTCATGAGTTGTCGTGTGATTTGCAAACAGCATGGAGAGAAAAGCAAACAAAAACACACTTGCACATCTTCAGAGGCTGAAAACATGGACAATGGTGTATTCAACCCCATGGGCCCTTGGCCCAACTCAACCCATCGCGTTTTATTTGATCCAATTAATGGGTGCATTAACCCATATTCAATCTGCAATACGAATGGATAGATTTGGAGTTTTGGATGGGCACAAGTGAATTGGGTCAAGTAGGTTGGCTCAGAAATTGCCACCCTGTAACAAGTGTTCTCTTCGCCGCGTCATCAAGTGCCAATCACCGTGCCTACAGCTGCCACTCCAGCGTCCAAGTGTGTGTCATGGGTGGGCTATGCATGTACTTTTGTATGGGGGATTGCCAATGGCATTATTGTAATACTGTAGTATGCTTTTT